TGGAACCAGTGTGTGTTTCACCTTTACTTGGGAGGCCAGTCTGTCCTCCTGACTCCTTGGGGAATACCCTTCACTGATGGAGAGATGTAAATGAAGGTGGTGCCAGAATAGAGGCCACTCAGAGTACAAGTCTATTGTCCTATGGGCCTCACCAAGAGCACATTCTTTCTGAAAGACCTTTCTTATGGAAGGTAGAGCCTATATATACTTAGGCAAGAAAAAGAAACAGCCTGACCTGCTCTTGCCCTGCTGAACATCTTCCTTTCTGGGACTCTTTGGGAAGTGTTGTCACTGCTTACTAATCACAGGGTAATTCAGAGGAACCTGAAAAGCTAGTTTGGTTCATGATGGGGTGGGTTGGGGTGGAAGAAAAGTGGAAGTACCTGGCTAGACTAGGCATTAAGCATTTGAGACCCTGCCCTGAGCCCTTGGCAGTGACTCGTGGCCCTGTGATTCTACCACTGCAGAACTCCTCTGGGATTTAGGCCTGTTAAGAGAAACAGTGGATACTGACGGGTCTCTATAGGGACACTGAGACCTGTCAAGGCAAGAAGTACTGACCACCTTTTGCCTGTGTAGTACAGTCCTAGGTGCCTGTGGGATATCTTAAACATGAGACTTCTGGCTTACCCCACCAAAGTAATGACCCTTTAGGCGTTCTATGATCCCTGTCCATGGGGGCTTAGATGTGACCCCATGGTCATCACAGCCTCCCTGTTTGGGGGTGCTGCAAAGCCACCAGGCCCAGCACTCGGGTCTGGATCCCCTTGCTGTACCATGTCAGGTACTAGAGTTTGGCAGCGGACACATACAGGTTGTGAGCAGTGCTTTGTTTGTGCCACCACACGTGGGCAAAAACAGATTATAGATCTGCACTCCTGGATGTGGTTATCTGGAATGTTCTTTTTCTACCATTGTGGGGGCTGGGAGAGCATGGTTACTTTTCCCCCCCTTGGTACAGCATATTTGTGTCAGCTTTCATTAATACAGTGTGTATTGCAAGGCCCAGTGTTGGCCGGCACCCCACATATGGTCCTAGTTTCTGCTCTTACTTGGATCCTGAGGATGAACACCGCTGCATATGTTTCTGCCTCTTGCTTCTGGGTTTTGGAGTAAAACATGAGAGGACCCCTCTGTGGGACTGTGCATCCAGCTCATTCTTGGGTTTTTATATGTAGCTTACCTAATTCCCGTGTTGCTAGAACCCATGACAGAAACAGGCAGGTGGTACATTTCTTGCTCTGAGGGCTCTGCCCTCCTACTCCAGTCTGAAAGGAGTGTGGCAGCTGCTTCCTGTCTGTTACTCAGGATTCCCTTCTCATTCAGTCAGTCCCACATAGAAAAGGTGAATGTGGGAAGCCTTGTGATGTTACTCTTATTGTCCACCTAACTTGTAAGATTAAAGATAAGCATTTTCTTAGAATTTCAGAAGCACTGCCTGAGAGCTTTCATCTTCCAGGGCTGCCTTGGCAGCAGGCCTCAGCCCTTAGCCATGTGTTCTCATCTAGAACATGTAAGAATGGTCTGTAATTTTCCAGGTACTCCTTTGGGGGTTTCTGTTAGTTTGATGTTGACTTCCAGGTTGCTTGTTTTCCTTTTTTATCCATTATTTTTTTCTTCATTCTGCTAAGACCTTAATTTTGAGCTTTTCTTATTTTTTTTTAACTTTTTTAGGGAAGGGTTTACAGGGTGCTAAGGGTCTCACTACCAGAATGGATTTGTAGTGATCTGCCTGTTTACAGCCTCCAAGAGCTAGGATTACAGGTGCACGGCACCACGCCCAATCTGTCTCCTGTCTCAGTGTGCCCCAGGGCCAGAGCTGCTCAGCAGGCCTGGGGATTGAACCCCTGGTCCCTGCACCAGGGGCTTTAATCCGCTGAGCTATTTGGCCAGCCCTTGAGCTTTTCATTTTGACTCTTGGTAGAATTAGTTTTTGTTCTTGCTCCTTTTTTTTTTTTTTTTTTCAGAACCTTTTTTTTTTTTTTTTTTTTTTTTGGCGGAGCTGGGGATTGAACTCAGGCCCTTGCCCTTGCCAGGGAAGCGCTTATTCTACTGAGCCATCTCCCCAGCCCCTTTGTTCCTTTTGTTCTAGTATCCTGTTCTTGTTTGGTGAGCAAAGTGTCTTTTAACCAATCTGTGTTGGTGTTGAATGTGGGTTTTCTGCTTTTACTTTTCTTTGGAGGTGGGGGATTGAACCTGGGGCCTTAGGTATAAATAGGCAAATATTGTACCATCTAAGCTACATCCCCATCTTTGGTTTTTTTCCTTTTTAAGTTGTTTGTCTCCTGTCTTGCATTGCTTCCCTCTGAATTCCTTTTTTGCTCATCGGCAACTTTTTCATTTGTGTAATTGGTAGATTCTCACTATGCAGCTCAGACTTGTGGTGATCCTCCTGTTTTCAGCCTCCTCAGCACTGGAATTACAGGCATATGCCTCCATGGCCAGACTCTGTCACTAGCTCAGTGCAAACCAGGGGCGGGGCTGGTGCAGCATGCAGGACTAAGAGTCTAACCCTGGTCCTTGCACTTGCCAAAGCAGGTGCTTAGTCTGCTGAGCTATCTCACTGCCTGACTTTTTTATTTTTAAATGGGGTGCTGGAGATTGAACCCAGGGCCTTATGCATACAAGGCAAAGAGGTCTACCACTGAGCCACATCCAAGCCCTCAATGACAATATAGGTCTGGTTGGAGCTTTCAGATGCTGAGGAATTGCTGGTCCCTTGCACAGAGGCCATAGGTTGCTCCTGTGTGCATCTGCAAGGTGTCCTAGGAATTTATGTGCCCATTCACATCTCCTTAGTGCAGCTAGATCCCATCCACAGCCCATGTCTTGGGAGTTCCACTTTTGTACTTGTTCAGCCATTAGTCACCTTGGGCTCCCTTCCTCAGATTCTGCCCCAAAGCCCACTGAAAACCTCGTAGGAGGGAGGCTTGCACCAGAGGTAAAGGGGGGAGGCCTTTGTGACCCCTAAATTATTTTATTCCTCCTCAGTTGGAAAGAATAAAGGCTGAGTCTTGTGTGTAGTCCCAAGCATCTCCTCTCCTTTGTCCCTGTCCTGACAGTTTTTCCCTAAAGGCAGTGCTCTCAGTGCACTGAGAAGTAGTGGTAGTTTGCTCTGTGTCATCCTTTGCATCTGAGGACCTGGCTGTTGCCAGAAAAGTGACCTGATAGCAAAGTCTGCTTAATTTCAGACATGTAACTTTTTTTTTTTTTGGGGGGGGGTATAGTGTCTCACCATGTAGCCCAGGCTGGCCTCAAACTCACAGCGATCTTCCTGCCTCACTGGAATTACAGGCATGCCCCACCATGCTGGCAGAGTATAACTTTTTCATTATGTGATACTGTGCAAGACCATGTCCTGAGGGCACTTGATAAAGCATGTTTTCCAGCCAGTGGCTGGGGGAGTGATAAGGTTAAGCACCCCAAACATGATCCCAGGCATAATGCCATCTGGAGATGCCAGATACTGAAACCTATGTATAACAGGAGTAAGGTCTCCTAAAAGAAGGCAGCCTTGGTGTGTACACATGGTCACAAGAGGAGCACAGGCAATGCAGAGCTGCACAAGGATGGTCATGCAGGAATAAATGGCACAGTGCTGTGGTCTGTGTATCCCCAAGATTCGGACAAGTCAGTGGGAAATTGCATCTCAGTGCAGAATGTTGGGACAGGTGTTCAGGTCACAGGGCTCCTCACAAATGCTTGGGGCCCCAGTGTAAGGAGCTTTGGCAGTAGAATTACTCTCCTGTTGTTCCATCACAAGAGGATATTGTAGTTCTCCCTTCCAGAGGACAGTTAGCCCTTGATCCTAGACTTGTAGCCTGCATGACTGTGGCAGTAAACACCTGTTCTTGATGAGCCACCCAGCCTGTGATCTTTAAGTATAAAGGGACAAGACAGCCATCCTGCCCTATATGTGCTTGTTCACCTTGCTGTGGGCTATATGAACACAGATGTATCTTTTTGTTGTTTTTGTTTTTTGGTGGTACCAGGGATTGAACTTAGGACCTTGTGCTTGCCAGGCAAGCACTTACTCTACTGAGCTATCTCCTCAGCCATCTCTTTGTTTTTGAAAACTGTGTAATGGCCCTTGCTTGTTAAGATGCCACTGGTATCTAACTTTCCAGCAGCCAACATTTGAGAAAGCGCTAAATTTCTGGACTAGAAAACAACTAAGGGCCCAAAGTATTTACAGTGGTGAGCCTGGGAAGCCCTGTGTTCCCCTAGAGGCCTTCAGGTCTTAGGCAAGGCTCCCATGGTTTGTTCCTGCTGGCCTTATTGGCGCCACCAGCTTTCTGTTTTGCTAATGGACCCTATTGTCACAGCATGCATCAGACACAGTATGTGTCCTTGCAAGAACCTGTCCTCATATATGCATGTCCTCAAAGTATGCTGCTGGGATTCACCATGGGTGCCTTGTAGGGTCCTAGCTATCTGGACCACTTCGTGGGTGGTGTCACGTGACTGCCCCATCAGGTGACACCACTGTGCTTCCTGGGCCTGTCCTGTGGTATGCTGCCACCAAGCTCCTTGGCAAGTTGGGAATGTGGCCCATGGTCCTGAGACTGCAGTGTGACCTGTCCTCTGGTGGCAGTAAAGGCAAGAAGGTCCTAGCCCCGCTATAGTTGCTGTTTGTCATCATATGCTGGTGTAACGGAAGAACACGTGGCTGGGTGGTTCTTTATCCACCAAAAGCTGTGCTTGGCTGTAGAGATGTCAAGTACCTCAGAAAGCAGGGTTTTGAGACCATAGCTTGCCTGCTCTTTGAATATGGCTGTGGAGCTGTCCTGAAGCTTGCTGGCATCAGGGTGAATGGACTTTGACAGGAAGAACCAGCTGCATACTTTGGCTGCAGGAGCTTAAGTGTCCAGGTGGGCACGTGGCTTCCGTTACCTGGGAACAAGAGTTATAGTATATCCCTGGATGGATTGCCCCTGACCTGCCACGCGGCTTGTGCTGGCAGCCTGAGAACAGGCCCAGGACACCTTGCTTCCCCCCAGGTCTCTGGCCAGTTTCTGTTCCACGCATCCACAAGCATGGGGAATATCTTCGCAAACCTCTTCAAGGGCCTCTTTGGCAAAAAAGAAATGCGCATTCTCATGGTGGGCTTGGATGCTGCCGGAAAGACAACAATTCTTTATAAACTGAAGCTTGGTGAAATTGTGACCACCATTCCTACCATAGGTGAGAAGCCAGGCTGGGAGGGGGCCCGGGCCTGGGCCTGTGGTGGCTCCTGGGTGCAGAGGGCCCTCAGCTGCAATATTGTTCCTAGGTTTCAATGTGGAAACGGTTGAATACAAGAACATCAGCTTCACCGTGTGGGATGTGGGTGGTCAGGACAAGATTCGACCACTGTGGCGCCACTATTTCCAGAACACCCAAGGTGAGCAGCCAGTCCTCATCCTAGTTTCCTCCCATCTGTGTCCTTGAGATCTAGTCTCTCTTGGGGGTGGGTCTGTTGCTCAAGGGTATAGTGGGTGGGCTGTTTTCAGGACTTGCGGTAGTCCTGGCTGTGTTGCAGGCTTGATCTTTGTGGTGGACAGCAATGACAGAGAGCGTGTGAATGAGGCCCGTGAAGAGCTCATGAGGATGCTGGCTGAGGACGAGCTCAGGGACGCTGTCCTCCTCGTGTTTGCCAACAAGCAGGTAGGTGGCAGCAGGCTTATACCTGGGCATCCCCTGCTGGGGAGGGAGGAAAAGCCTGGAGACAGGTCAAGGTGGCCTTGCTGCTGACCCATCCTTCTCCCCAGGACCTCCCCAACGCCATGAATGCAGCTGAAATCACAGACAAGCTGGGGCTGCACTCTCTACGCCACAGGAACTGGTACATTCAGGCCACCTGTGCCACCAGTGGGGACGGGCTCTATGAAGGATTGGACTGGCTCTCCAATCAGCTCCGGAACCAGAAGTGAACCAGAATCCCCCTTCCCCTCACTTTCTCCTTCTCTGCCCTCCGCTTTCCTCTCATGTGGCAAACGTTGCGACTCTGTGGTCCTGAGTGCCAGAAGCTGTCTCCATGGGTTGGTCACAGTGTGCACACATCGTGCTGTACATGTGCAGACGCCTGCAGCCAGGTTTTTATTTAATGTAAATAGTTTCTGTTTCCACTGAGGCAGTTTCTGGTACTCCTATGCAATATTACTCAGCTTTTTTATTGTAAAGAAAATCAACTCACTGTTAGTACTGAGAAGGGATTTGGGTGCATGGGCACCTGGCCTCCAGGAGCCACTGAACTGTAGATTGGTGTCAGGATCCATTTGGTGGTTGGTGTATAACCCAAACTCAGTGCATTTTTAAAAATAATTAAAAATTACAAGGTGAGGAGAACACTTGAACACACAGAAGGGAGACTATTCCTAGTGCGGTTCAGCCTGATCATCAGATCAGCTGTTCCTCTGGGAACTCCAGAGATGTGACGAACAAATGCCATCCACTGCATGGTCACAGTTGAGACCCTGTGGCCCGCCTGTCTTTGGGTCACCTGCATTCCATAGCATTGTGCTTGTACTCATGCTCACATGGTCACCTTGGGGTAGCGGGGAAGGTTAAGAGGGGTACAGGGCCCACCCTCCCCCTCGGTCAGTGTGCAGCTGGAGTGGCAGCCTATTCCTAGTGCCCGCTCGGGACTTACGTTGGTCAGTCTGGGTCTCACCAGCAGGAGCGCGTGCAAACTGGGTCGGTTGGTCCACTCTAGACCACAGTCCCGGAGCACCCCCACCTCCATGTGTGAAGTAGCTTCCTCCCTCAGCCTGCAAGGGTCCGATTTGCCATCAGAAAAGATGACCTCTACTTTTTTCTTTTGTATTTTGATAAACACTGAAGAAGCTGGAGCTGTTAAATTTACCTTGGGAAACTTCAGAACTGGTTTATTTGGTGTTGTGGAACCTCTTACTGCTTTCAATACACGATTAGTAATCAACTGTTTTGTATACTTGTTTTCAGTTTTCATTTCGACAAGCACTGTAATTATAGCTATTAGAATAAAGTCTCTTAACTATTTCATAGGCTCTCCAGTATTTGTCACCCAGTCACCAGGTTGCCACCTGGAAAGTGAACAAAGTTGGACAAACTGCAAGTGGCCTCAGCTCTGAACACTTCTGCTTCCTAGGTCACACACTAGGTGTATGAGGGGAGTGAGTTAAGAGGGTCTCCTTTTTTTTTTTGAAACGGGCTCACTTATGTAGTTGAGTCTGTCCTTGAGCTCATTTTTTAGCCAAGGCTGGTCTCATACTCACAATCCTGCCTCAGCCTCCTGTGCACCACACCTGGCCCTCTACTTGTCTGTCCTGTGCAGGGACAGGGTACTTGCACCAGCAGAGTTATGGGCCTCCTCCTGTCCCTTGGTGGCAGTGACTACCATGTTCCAAGTGTGCCCTCCTATAAACAGGGTCTCAAAGAGGTGCTGGCCCAGGCCACTGCCTGAGAGATAGTCATCTGCTGAGGCAGGCTAAGGTCAGTGTAGAAGTCAAGGTAAGCCTAGCGTTCTACAGATACCTACAGAGTATGCCCTGGGCCACCCTTAACACTTCAGTTTCTTTTAGAATTGGGAGCAAAATAATAGGCACATCAAGCTTACTTTGATGTGTATGTTACTAAGGCACTGGGCTGGCACAGGCAAGCAGAGGCACCCCCAAGGCATCAGGTATGCACCTGCTTCTCAGATCTGCCAGACCTCACCCATCTGCCTATAAAGGCATTTCAGGTTGACAGAACTCATCATCAGGGTCCACTGGGCCCTGGACCATCAAGCCCCAAACACTGATCCTGCCTGGCCATACACAGGGAAGACTTGGGATCCTAGTACGTGTAAAATCACCATGGCCCAAGCAAAACCACATTGCAAACATGGAGGCCCCCATGAGGCAAGCTGGAAGATGGGCCATTCTACTGGACCTCTCTCCTGGTTGAGTACTTCACATCCCCACACTGACCTCCCAATGTACAATACATTCTTTTAAAATAAATTTATTTAAGTATAAAATGAGTTGATAGGGAAAGAAAAGTAACTGATCATAGTTAAAGACTCAGGAGACCCAGACCATTGCAGCCATGGACAAGACAGAACCTCCTGGTTAGCTCTGCATGCGCCTCATGGCAGGGCAAGGCCCAAGACCTGGAGGAGTCTCCACCAAGTGACTTCACCTCCATCTGAGCCTGCCAGTTGGCTCCCAAGACCTAGCAGGTGCCTGCTCACCCAGACAAGAGATCCCCTAGGCAGACCCAGCCGGTGATAAGGAAGGTAGGTGCAGTCACAATCCACAGGTCTAGGCTTCACTGTGCAGCAGTGCACCAGATTCTAGCTTGAGGCTGCAGGGGCTGTGCTGTCACAGCTAAGCTGCAGCCTCAGGTATCACAGCTTCTGTTCTGCTGTCTGTGGGATGGGCTCCTTCCACTGTCCCCAGTGTGTCCCCGCTTCCGCCTCTTTCTGCAAGAGGAGGGGGAGTCAGAATCATGCTGCCAGCAACGGCCAGGCCTGGTCAAGGATGGCCAGACATTTAGAGGAAGGTGCTGGGCAGGCAAACACCTCACCCTGCTCCAGGAGCTCCAGGCCCTTCCTCAGGCCTAACAATCCTGGACACCCTAGAGCCTCCACTCAGGACTGCTAGGCCACACCTCCAGCCTCAAGAGCACCCTCTTCCTAAGTCCCCCAAAGGCTGGCCCGGCCTACCGATCTGGAGATGGAGATAAAGCATTAGCCTCCTTCCGGTGCTCTTTGTCTTTCTTCTTCTTCTGTTTCTTGTGTTTCTTCTTTTTCTTCTTTTCCTTCTTGCTTTTCTTACTGCTCTCTGTACTGCAAAGGGGAGGGATAGAAAGGGCCTCATCCCAACCCTAAGGATGAGAGAGAGCTAATGGCAGTCAAAGCAGCCTTGCTGTGCAACATGGAAGCCAGCATTTATGTGCAACTGTACAGCTTATTTACTCAGTAAACAACATTGGGAACTCATCCAGTACCTTTCCAAGGACTACACACTCCCATGTGATAGAAGATGCTATGATCAACTATGGAACACAAGTAGAGGCAGAGAGCTCCATTGGGCTGTGCCAATTTGGAGGTCTCACAGCCCCTTGCTATTCCGCCTGTCAGTAAGCTGGCTAGATCCTGACTCCTGCGTATAAACCACCACATTGCCCCCTGCACCAGGGAGCTAATGAGATCTGCCAAGGCCCAGACTCCCAGCCTCACAATGGGTGGGCAGCTTAAGGCTTGCAACAGTGAAGCTCCCAGAGCTGTGGCTTGCCTGAACAAGCCAAAAAGCAAGCCCCACTGACCCTGGCTGCCTCCCTAGCCCCAGCAGTGAGCCACCTCCAAGCACCGTTCCCGGCGTCAAGTAGCAAGTCAAGGCCAGCTTCCATTTAAGGAGGACCTTACCCCGACTCAGCCTGGTCTTCTGCGCGTGGCTTCTTCTTTGCCGTGGCTACGTCGGCCCCTGGCCCACCCCTGTCCACGCGATGGTGCTGACAAAGGAAAGAGCTGTGAGGGCGGAGGTCGGGCGGTGGCCTCCAAAGTCTCCCAGGTCTCCCAGACCCCACCCCGGGACCTGACACGGGCCCAGCGGCGATTACCGTGAACACTGACAGCCCCAACTTGGCGGCCTCCTTGTCTTCCCGGGACAGCGCCATGCGGCCCGCGGACCCACTGCGGGGACAGGTTGGTGAGGGCCAGCCCTCCCGCTCCCCACCTCCCCAACTCGCCGTACCTGGCGCTGCCCAGCCCCAGCAGCCGGTCCACGCCCTTCTCGGGGTCTCCGCCCTCCCGCTTGCAGATCTCCACGAAGTCCTACAACGAGGGGTACAGCTGGCTCGCAGAGAGCAGAAATGTGCCGCCCCGCCCGCATCCCCGGGGCCGTCCGACCTACCTCCTTGCTCAGGCCGGTGGGCTGCCTCCTCACGTTCTTGTAGCCGCTGCCGGGGCGGGAGGGAGCGTCAGGACCTGGCCACCGCCGCGCCCAGCTCCCGCACCCTGCACCCCGTGCCAGCCGCCCGGCGCCCGGCGCCACTCACAGTGCGGCCAGCAGCGCCTCGCGCTCCGCCTCTCGCACAGCCGCCAACTCCTCCTCACGGCTTGGGCCCGCGCACGGCGCGCGGCCTTTGGCGTACCAGGTGAGGTCGCGGCCCTTCTGCCAGCGGCCCACAGGCGCCATCAGCGAGTTGCCCAAGTAGTTCTCTCTCTGCTTGTCAGTCTTCACGTCCTCCCAGTTGAACTGGTCCTGTCCACCTCGGACACCGCCGCGGCTGGAGCCGAACATGGCTCCGGGTCGGCCAGGGAGCCAGCGGCAACCAGGACTGCCCCACCCCGCCTCGGCTGGCGGCGAGCTCTATGACGTCACGCCCGCGGCCGGGCGCGCCTGCGCAGTGCGGCGCCCAGCCGGCGGACGGGGCCTCCCGGCGCTTCCTGTGCAGCGGGAGGCGTACGCCTGAGCTCCAGCGCCCCAGCCTTCCCGCGGACCGTTCAGCTGCCGTGGTCCCTCGCGCTTCCGCGTCACACGCACCCAACTCTTGAGCGCCCGTGCTTTGCATTTCTTCCGCTAGCCGAAGCGCCCCGGTTCTCGTACGCCTGCGCAGTACATTACCTACCCAGGGGACTACAGACGCTAGATCCTGACCCGCTAGACCCTGCACTGCGCCCCCTCAGCCTCCACCCCGTGCGCCGCTCCCGCCCCATCCCATCTGGTTGAGCTGGTAGAACGTAACCGACAGGCAAAGGCGGACAGGGTGCTGTTCGATGCCACTTCCACAGCGCCCCTTACAGTTGTGCGGTGTACACTGCCCCGGGAGCTGAGGTGACTCACAGCAAGCAACAGTGGCTGGTCACCGTGGGCGATCAAGGACGAGCGCGCTGTATCGCCAGGGAAGCAGGCAATGCCAAAGGGCCCGCGCCAGTCCTGCCATGCTGCGTTCTGCAACATTTGCATTGAACTATATCCGCCACTCAATTAATTGTACAGGATGGGCTCAAAGTCAAGATCCTCCTGCCTCAGCCTCCCAAAGTGATGACAGATGTGCGCCACTGGACTCTGCCTTCCTTTCAGTTTGCTGGAGAACAAAATACAGCTTGGGCTATCGGGTAGTGCAATGATGGACAGGCGCCCCTGGCATCAAGTAGATAAAATCACAGGAGAAACACAGGTTAGCCAGTGCCTAGAGAAGCAGAGCCTACATAAGATGAGGGTAGCAAAGCCTCACTGTGGAGGCCCTGCATCTTTTCCAGGAGTAATAAACATATTGATCAGTGTGCTCTGCAGAGCTGGTGACAGCCAGCCAGTGGAGCCAGCACTGGGACTGTGCTTTACTGATAAAGAACACACTTATGTTTTGTCCTCACAGGCCACAGAAATAGCTCCTTGAAGGCAAGCCTGATGCGATCAAGGCTTTTGAAACCAGACTCCGTCCCCACGATTAGGATCCAGAGGAAAACAAGCTAGTGCATTACGGGCCTGCATGGTTTATGTGTTATCCAACAACGTATTTGCATAAATGGCGGCCCACACAATACCAGGCCAAGGATGAGTATACCAGGCAGCGACAGTCCCCAATCCCACATGGACTGCGTCCCTGAAATTCAAGGTTGAGACCACCCCTACTCTGTGATGCCATGAGGAAATGGGGCTCTGGAAGGGCAAGAGGTTAGGGTGCAACCTCAAGGTTAGCGGCCTCAAGTAAGAGGACCCTGAAGTTCTCCTGCCCTGTGTGCCAACCAAGAGCACAAGGAAATGCTGCCTGGCTCTGAGTCCTGGGCACTAACAAAAGCTGCCCAAACTGGAAAGAAACGGCCCTACCCTAAGCCAAACTCCTCTCACCTTCATATAAACTGCACCTTGGTCCTGGCTGTGGCACCCTGCTTGCTCTGCTGTGAGGCTCACTGCAGCCTTGGGTGGTCAGTCCCCTGGAAATGCTTGGGCTGATCACTGGCAGATAGCGCTGCTATTTAGGGAACCTAACCAACCCTATCTTGGGAAAATGTGAGCCACTGCCTCACATGAACTGCTCTGCCACTGCTTTGGGACAATGCCAGCTGCAGGAAAGATCACATCCAGAGTGGTGAGAAGTTGCTGCTTATGAATCACCTAGGCTGTGGTACCTTATTATTTTCCTACAGTAGTGGGATCAAACTCAGGTGTGGTCCACCACTGAGCTATCCCTAGCATTTTGGAAATGGTCTTGCTAAGTTACACAGGTTGGCTGTGAATTTGGGTGCCTTGTGCCCACAGGGCAGCTTTTAAGAAAAGGGATTATGAAGAGAGGAGTGGGGGTACCAACTGCAGGCCGCAGCCTGAGCGGTCTCTGCACCCAAGAACATCTGGCTTGTGTCTCCCACTGGGTCAGGTCAGCAGCACTGTAACCCTGGCTGCTCCTGAGACTGGGAGTGTAGAGCTGTGGCTGCTGGGGCTCTCTGCCGGCTATGCATGTGCACCACAAACTTGCAGCCATCCTCACAACCCACAAGTTTGATCTAAATTGATTCCAAACCCTCTGGTCTGCTCAGAACCCCAGAGGCCTGTCTGGTTCTGAGCTGGGGTTTCTGAGATAAGGACCTATACCCTGGAGCACATATGCAAAGGAAGACACTGACATGAGCTGGTGACGGCAGGAATATATCATTTACAGGAGATCTCCTTCTGTCTACACAACGTCCCTAAAGCAACTTCAAGCCACAGTTACTTCTTGGTCCTGGCCCAAAACTGTCTGTATCGCTCGGCATCAAAGTCATCAGTGAGCTCTGGCTCCTCCTCTTTCTTGTGATGGAGCTGGGCCTCTCGTTTCCGGAGCCTGGCCCGGCGCTCCTCAGGGGACAGGGTGTCCAGGTCCAGGGGCATCTGTAAGCAGAGGCCAACGCATGAAACGGCAGAACTACCAAGATGACTTCCTGGGCCTTGCCCTCGTCTGATAGCTTCCATTCTATGCTCCTTTAACTTTTATTTATTTATTTATTTTTTAAAGATCCTGTTGGTCTTTCTCTCCCTTCAAAAGGGTACCTGTACTAAGAGAAAGTTTTTCTAGTTTTTCCCTCCAGAGTTAGCTTTTAAAAACAGTAATCCTACTTCCTGATTTTGGCACTTGGGAGGAGTTACAGGTGGAAACCCTGCTCTCCTCCAACAAGTTGCTCCCCTCTGCCTATGTGCAGCCTATCTGGAGCCCAAGTCTTGTGGCTGTGGGCCCTGCCATCATGACTCAGCCTCCCCCAGGCCACAAGGGAGCCCCAGCAAGGAACACTTACTGCCAACATGCGCCTTGGCTCCCGGTAGCGGATGTGAATGGTGGAGCCGTCCTGCTTGACAAGAAGCACTGGGTAGAGGCGTGTATAGGCCTGGCGGTGCAGGCGAGTGAGTGCAGCCCTGCTGCTGTCTGCCCAGCTTTTGGAAGTGTGCAGGCATCGGGGTCTGGATGCAACTGCCTTCGCAATGCTCTGCGGTAGCAAGCTATGGCAACAGACACCAGTCGGTGGAGGGCACTAAGACAGAGCACACAGCTCCTGGCAAAGCAGGCCCCACAACCAGAAGAGGTCAAGAGCACAACTCCTCCAGCAGTGAGGACAGCCCTGTCTTGGTGAGAGAGAGTTCTCTGGGGTAAGCCTGGCAATGTCCTGCAGGGCTGGGAGTCCACTTACCTACGTAGGCTGCCCACAGCTGCCATTCTCTTTTCGGGCCTGATCTGTCCCTGTGTGACCTGCTAGGCAAGGAGAGATCTTTTTTCTTTTCCAAAAAAATTTCCGCTTTAATTCATCCTCATAAAACCCTGGCCAAAACAAGTCTCAGACTTAAATATATCAAGTATTACTCTGGCACACACAGAGCAGTCCCTTACCTGGGAATACCAAAACCCACAAGTCCTCAAATACAGTAGTGTAGTACAGTATCTGCATAGAATCTGTGCTCATATTCTCATACACCTGAAACTCGGTGAAATGAGAATTATCGTGCTTGCTTAATAAAGGGTAAGCCAAAAGCTGCCTTTCCTATGCCAGTTCTCAAAGGATTCTGCGCGTTGGTATCTATCTGAGTTCTCCAAGGAACCCGACGGTAACTGGGGTGCGCGCATTTTGCCTCTGGGGGCCCGAGCTTGAGCAAGGAGGGGATCCACTGGGGTAGTTGTCTGTCTGCCCCACAAGCATGCACACGACACCCCGCCCCTGCACCTGACTCCTCCCGCGGGCCCCGCGCAGCCGCTCATCTCCCCCGACCTGTGCCCCAGCCGAACGCGACACAACCGGACATCTCAACTAGGTCCGGAGTAACAAACACCCGAATACTCACTGAGCAAGTTGCAAACCCAGCCCGCGCAGGGGCCGCGCCACGGGACCACGGCGCTGGGCGTCGCACGGCGCTGACGTCCTCAGGGGCGACGACGCAGAGCACTGACACAGAGGTAGAGACGGGCGGCGGGGCGTGGCTCGCGGGCCGCGGGGCGGGGTCGGCGGGAGGCGCGCTGTTCGCCTGCTGGAGCCGGGCGGAAGCCGGCCCCGTGAAGGCGGGGGGACGTTAGGTCCCGGGGCGGGCAGGCTACCTGAGGAGCGAGGCCGGCGCGTGGCAGAATGGAATCCTCGGAGGGCCCGCGGGGCGGCGACATAACCAAGGCGGTGCAAGAGGCCGAGTGGGCGGGCCCGGGGCGAGGCTGCGCGGCGCGGGGAGCTGCAGGCCGCGGCGGGCCGCGTCCGGGGAGGGGCGGAGCGGCCGGCCCAGGACGACGGACGCGGGCAGGGACGCGGCCGGCGCTGCTTGATGACGTGCGCGGAGGAGAAGGCCGGCGTGTCTCACCCCTGCGGCGCGGGCGGCACGCGCCAGGCCGATCTGCGAGGAGGCCCCGAGACCTAGGCGTCCAAAGAAGGCGTCCCGCGAGCCTCCGCCCGGAACTGGAAACGCGTCCCGGGGCCGCCTGCAGCAGCGGGCCAGGAACTGGCACAGCTTCGCGTCTTGTGGGGCGAGAAAACTTTAGGGCGTTGAGGCTGGCCCACGAGGAAGATGGCTCAGCCCAAAACTGGAGGCGCGCCAATAGCTCTGTTAAGGAAGCTGGTTTTTTTGTTTCGTTTTTGGCGGAACCGGGGATTGAACTCGGGTCCTTACATTTGCCAGACAAATGCCTATTCTACTGAGCCCCCTCCTCAGCTCTAAGGAAGCTGTTTTAAAACAAATACCCCCCTACAGAGGGTCCGAGCACAGCGGGGTATCCGCAGTCCTCTATGGCTCTGGCTGTGCTCAGAAGAGGAGCTTCTGGTCTTTTCACTGTCAGCTGTTAGTCACGTGATACTACCTGTGACACTCTCCTGTCATGTGATACTAACTTTGCAAAGATATAAATATAGGGGGTGGCGGCTCTCAGTTGGATTAATTTGTTCTTAGCCAAAGAAGCTCAAGTTTAGCCTTCCCCACCCTGGTTAAGATGCTGTAAATCCTTCACTTCTCCACGCTTAAGATGTTATCACTCCTTCAATCCTTCCCAACCTTTGTTTAGATGCTGTAACTCCTTCAGTCTCTCCCCACCTTTGTTAAAATGTTGTAAACATAATAGGAAAACTAATTACGAAGAATCCCATTGCCATGGAAATCAAGTAACTATTTAAGCCAAGAAGAAACTAAGACCACCACCAGACGGATATGATTACCCCCTCACCCCCACCCCCGAACTGGGGATTGAACTCAGGCCCTTGCGCTTGCCAGAGAAGCATTTACTCCTCTGAGCCATCTCCACAGCCCTTGGATATGCTTCTGATCTGTAAGGATTGGAGAAGCACATCCAGATGCCAGGACAGACATTTAAGATCTGTAATCCAGGCAGGGTCTGAAGGCTGGCTTTATTAATAAACTTTCCAACTTCTGGTCTGATGTGGAAATAATCTCCATTTCATAAATAAATGCCCTACTATTGTTTTGGGGTCGTTTGCCAGTCAGGCAGTGGGCCACCACCAGACCCAACTCTTCTTGTCTATCTTTTCCTCATTCCTGCTGCTGTTTTTCCCTGGGGTATACTGAGAAACTGATGGAGTCCTACATTGGATAACATAGGGAAATCTTTTTGTTTTTAAACTGTGTTTAAAAGTACAGGGTTGGGGGCCTGGCCCTAGCTCAGTTCTTTAAGTGGCTGCTTCCACAAAGCTTTCAGCCTCAGATTGCTGTAGTTGGATCCCCACAACTCCAGCCAGCCAAACCTGCCCTGAGGGCATTCAGACCAAAAAATAATCTGCTGAGCTATCTGGCAGGCCCTTAAAGTTTTAAACATTAGTGTTGGGGGAGATGGTGAGGGACTGGTCTGAGGTTTGATTACTGCCAGTGAATGGCTTGACTCTGGTTGGTGGAGGTTTTGAATCTTCAGGACCCTTGGAGGAACAGTCACAGCCTGGGTTAAATGTTAGCTCAGAAGGTGTTTCTAGCCCAGACAGCAAGCTTCAAAGTGGACCTTCCTTTCTCTGTCCCACTGATACAGAGGAATGAAACTCCCAAGCTGAAAGGCACCTGGGATGAGTTCATGTTTTCTAAAACCAAAGAATGAATTTTAGGAACAAACAGATCAAAAGCAGAATAGTTATTGGGGGAATTAAAGCTTCTGTGCATGAGAGAGACAGAAGGGAGACCTAGGGCCCGCAATATAGCTTAGCGGAAGAAGGGCTTGCTTAGCGTTCATCCCTGGTACCGCGCGCTGAGCTGGGGGGTGGGGGTGCGGGGTGGGCACACACGCCAGTAATGCCTTCCAGTGACTTTTACAGAGTAAAACCTCTGGTGAGGTGGGTTTAAGGTAGAGAACATGGGAACTCGATTAGGTTGGCATGAGGTGTGCCCGACCCGCGGGTTAGTCAATGAGGACCCTAGAGGGGGAGTGGGGATGAGAAGGGACAGGAGACACAAAGAATGGAGACAAGACAGGATTCTGATCAAGTCTCGTTTATTCAGGGGAGGTGCTGGGTATATATAGGGAGTGTGGGAATGAGGAAGTCTCAGCTCTAGGGGTCAGCAGGTATCTAGACAATGGGGAAGGTGCAACCCCTGGGGCAATGCACGTGATTCACGGGAAAAGGGCAAGGTGGGAAGGACCATAAACTTAGCTCCGCAGGGAACGGCTGACACTATTATAAAATGGATACCAGGTAATGGCTTCCCACAGAGGTGGGCCAAAAACAATGGTCAACAAATAAGGTTATAAGCACCACTGCTCAGGTAAAATTGATTAAGTCCAGGGCCAAATGGGGAAGAGAGTCACGTAGCCAGCGGGCACAAACAGAACAGGAATGTATACAGTAGCCAGCCAGTAGCAGTTGGATTAGTGACTCTTCCTGACCTCCCTCACGGCGATGATCAATCCTGGCAGCTTATCTTTAGGGAAGTCGGCATTTGTTCGGATCTTTGCTCTTTAGGTTTGGCCGCCAGCAGGAGCATCCAAAGTATCTGTCTTCCGGGCTGTCTCAGGGGCTGGCCCTGTCTGCCTCCATCTGTACCTCACTCGGCTGTCCGCAACATCCCGCTCTCCCCCTCGCATCCCCTGTGGCCCCACGCCTCCACGGGGCGCACTGAACCCAGGGCCGTGCAAGCCACAGAGGAGCCCCGACACGGACTGAGCACCTGGCCTCTCCTCTCCCGCCCTGCGGTGCCCGGTCAGCGCAGAGCCAGCGACCGGCACACTTCAGGCGCAGGCGCCCGGCGAGGGGCAGTGACGCACGGGGAAGCGCCGGCGCACACCGCAGCGCGACGGGAACGGCGCCTCGCGGCTGCGCAGAGGACAGCCGTGCGGGCGGCGCGGCGCGG